AAAAAAAAAAAAAAAAAAAAAAAACAGGTTATGGGCCCAGGCTTAACTCAAGTAATATGAATTCTATATATAATATTGATAAACTGGATGAAAATATTTACGACTCATGGAGTATCCAGATGAGGAGTGTCCTCATACACCAAGGGCTCTGGTGTGCCATAAGTGAAAAAATGCCTGAAATGACCAAGGATGGAAAAGATGTGGATATATGTGAAAAGTGGAGACTGAACGATGAAAAGGCGTTGGCGGTAATAACTTTGTCAATAAAACTTCAGAAATTGGACATATAAAAAAATGTAATACCGCCAAATCCGCTTGGACTGCATTAAGAGAAATTCATCAGCCCACTGGACCGATAAGAAAGGTATCTTTGTTTAAGAAAATGATATATATGCGCATGAGTTAGGGTGATTCCATGCAGCAGTATATTGCGAGCTTCGAAAAGGTCATTGAACAACTTTCAGAAATTGGCCTTGAATTGCAAGAAGAATTGTTTGTGATAATAATTTTAGCAAGTTTGCAAAAAGTTATGAAAACTTTGTTGTTGCGTTAGAAACAAGAGATCAGCTCCCAAAGCTTAGTGCTTTGAAAACAAAATTATTTGAAGAAAGTGAGCGGAGAAAACATAATGAAACAGTCGAAGCAGATGGTATTGTACAAGCATTAGTTGCTACATCAAGCCATAAATATTCCAACAACGAGCACACCAAAAGATATAGCGGAGGTAAAGGAGATAAAAATTTTAGAAAAAAGAGTAACTTTAAATGTTACAAATGTGGGAAGAAAGGCCATTTCGCTGCAGAATGCAGATCAAGAGAAACTTCTGTTTCTGGAGAGTATTCGAAATCATTTTTTTCTGTTTTTGGAGTTAGTCAAAACACGGTACTTGATAAAAAAGCTTGGTGCTTGGATAGTGGCGCAACTTCTCATTTGTGCGCGCATCGTGAAATGTTTGAAGATTTTGAGCAGTGCAGTGAAAAAATAATGCTTGCAGGTAATAAATTTCTCAAAGCTATAGGACGTGGTAACGTGAGAATAAAAAGTCACATGGGTGAACTTATATTAAAAAATGTGTTATATATTCCGGTATTGCAATGTAATTTTGTTTCTGTAAGCAAGGCAGCAAACAATGGTTACAAAGTGACATTCGAAAAAAATAACGCGTATATTTATGATCAAAACGGTGAAATTGTGTTAAAAGCAAAGCAAATAAAACAATTATTTTTTTGTGAAATATTAAACAAAACAATCGATTTAAAAACGCAATTGTTTTTTAATAATAATGCAAATGATAATTTAGTTCTGTGGCATAGACAGTACGGACACTTAAATATTAATAGTTTAATCGAATTAAAAAATAAACAACTAGTGCAACTGCACAGTGTGCCTTAAATGCAAATGCAACATTAAACCGTTTCAATCGTCTCAAAGTAAAACGAAAAATATTTTAGACTTAGTCCATAGTGATGTTTGTGGACCAATAAATGTTAATTCAATCGGAGGATCCAGATACTTTGTTACTTTCGTAGACGACAACTCGCGGTATATTTTTGTTTATTTTATAAGGCAAAAATCAGAAGTTTTAAATGTTTTCAAATCATTTAAAAGCATGGTTGAATGCCAAACAGGTAAAAAAATTAAAATGTTACGTAGTGATAATGGCACTGAATACGTAAATACAGAATTTAATAATTATTTAAATGAAAAGGGTATTCTTAGACAATTGACTGTGCCTCATACTCCACAACAGAATGGCGTTGCTGAAAGAGTCAACAGAACTTTAGTAGAGATGGCACGAAGTATGATCTTAAACGCAGGTGTCGACGAGAACTTCTGGGGTGAAGCAATTAACACTGCAGCATATATAAGAAACCGATCACCAACAAGAACAATAAAGAACTTGACTCCATATGAAGTTTGGTGGGAAAAGAAACCTGTGGTAAGTCATTTGCGAGTATTTGGTTGCTTGGCGATAGCTCTTGATAAAACTGAGAAAAAGAAATTTCGACCAAAGGGCAAAGAAATGATTATGGTTGGCTATGCAGAAAAATCGAAAGCATATCGGCTATATGACAAAATAAATAAAAGGCTTGTTGTAAGTCGCGATGTGTATTTCGTTGAAAATTTAAACGATAATAGCAATATTAATCTCCTACCTTTATTAAGTGCAAGTAATCTTAACCGCTATATTCCAGATAATGAATTTGAAATTCCAACTGAAAATCTCAAAAACAGTGAGGAGAACGGAACTGCCAACAAAGAAAGTAGTCAAATGAATACACCACAGGAAGATGATATACCTGATGTTCCAGAATCCGAAGACTATGCTGGTACAAGAGCTGGTTATAATTTAAGACCAAGGCCACAATGTGATATTGTAAACTTAGTAGCTCCAGTCAAGACGCCAACTGATATAGTAGCCCCAGAGACAGTCTTCGAAGCTCTACAGAGCGAACAGTCCGCTTATTGGAGACGCGCTATGCAGGAGGAGTGTGATATATTGATAAAAAATCATACATGGGACGCGGTGAAGCTACCAACAGGGCAAAAAGCTATCGGCTGTAAATGGGTTTTTACAGTGAAATTCGATGCAACTGGAAACATCGAGAGGTACAAAGCACGATTGGTCGCTAAGGGCTCTAGTCAAAAATACGGTGTTAATTATACTGAAATATTTTCACCGGTACTGAGATACGAAACCATAAGAATGATTTTAGCTATAGCAGTAGAATATGAACTTCATATCCATCACCTTGACGTTTCATCAGCATATTTGAATGGTAATCGCGAAGAAACAATTTTTATGGAGCAACCGAAATTATTCGAGAAAGACGATAATAAAGTGCTTCAGCTCAAAAAATCTTTATATGGACTTAAACAGTCAGGCCGAATGTGGCATTCCAGATTGAATGAGGAATTGGAGAAAATAGGATTTGTCTCATGCCGAAGCGAACCATGTGTATACACAAAAAATATTAGTCCCGTTGTTGATGGAGTCCATTTCGGTCCAATATGGATGATGATCATAGTAAACAATCATTTTCCATTCTGCCGTTGCTACTTTCATCAAGCCAATGGATTCAAAGTATATTCCTAAATTATTGTCGAAACGTGTTACATTCACTGAATTCCCTAATACCAATGGCAAGAATAATAGAGATAATAACATTGTGCACAATAATGAATTAGACATTGGCCGTGAATACTTCTTAGGTGGCTCGTCTTGATCTGCGCCTTCGTGTGGTGTTTTCGAATTCGCTTTTGTAAAACTTTTTGAAAGTTGTAAGCAGGAGATTGTTCATCGGATGGAAACAGAGGCGCTAGTCTTGTCAAAGGACGTCTTAGAGTTCCTGAAACCATTTTAACATCAACCACGCGAACAAGACTTCATCTCCCTTATATACTTTTGAAATACGTCCAAGCGGCCATTTTAATGTAGGAACATTATCTTCCTTGATGATTACAAGGGTATATTCTTTTATATTTGGATTGGCTGCTTTCCATTTGTGTCGACATTGTAGTTCAGTGAGGTACTCGGTTTTCCAACGTTCCCAAAAGTCCAATTTGAGGCGAGAAACTAATTTCCACCTTGTCACCAGATTTATATTTCCTGATTGGGCCTTTGCATCTGCCATTGCTGTGAGTGGTTCTCCGATTAAGAAATGACCAGGTGTTAGTGCTGACAAGTCATTCGGATTACTCGACAAAGGTGTCAATGGTCGAGAGTTCAGTATTACTTCGACTTCTAGTACCAAAGTCTCTAGTTCCTCATATGTTAGTGAAGTCGTCTTAGTACTTCGTATCAATAAGTGTTTTGCTGATTTGACTGCTGCTTCCCACAGTCCACCGAAGTGTGGTGCACGAGGGGGTATAAATTTAAATGTTATTCCTCTTTCATTACATTCGTTAATTATCTTCTCTTGTGCCTTGCTTGTTTGAATTGAGTCTGCAAGTTCAAGTAATTGATTGCTTGCTCCCACGAAATTTGTGGCATTGTCACAAAACAAATTTTTGCAGTGTCCTCTTCGAACAATAAAACGTTTCAGCGATCCGATGAATGCATCTGTGGTTAAATCGCTAACTACTTCGAGGTGAACTGCCTTAGTTGTAAAACAACAGTACACAGCAATATATGCCTTGTGTGGTTTCTTGCTTTGGATTCTGTAATGTATCCAAAAAGGTCCGCAAAAGTCCACTCCAGTGGTGAGAAATGGTCGCCCAGGTTGTACTCTTGTCGCTGGCAAATTACCGATCAGTTGTTCATAAAATCGTGGTCTTACTTTAGTACAACGTACACAATGTTGTACTACTGACCTTGCTATCAATTTGCCCTTAATTGGCCAGTATCGTTGACGCATGTTAGCTAGGAGAGACTGCGGACCACAGTGCATGTATTTCTTATGGACTTGTTCAATTATTAATTTGACAATGGGGTCATTATAAGGCAACAACATCGGATGTTTTGCGTCATACGATAATGAGGCTGCATCCAAACGTCCACCAACTCTTATGATGCCCGTATTATCAATATAAGGTGCCAGTGATGCCAATGCACTGGACTTATTTATTCTTCCATCAGATTTCATAATTTTGATTTCATTTTTAAATTCTGCATATTGAATATTTTTGATGATGACCTGATGTGCTGCATCTAGATCATCTGGAGTCAAAAACTTGCTTGAATGATCATTTTGTTTTCTTCTGGTTCTTTTTACGAATCTTAATATATACGATAATATCCGTTGAAGTCTTCCAAATGAGTTGTTGTGTCGTATTGAGTATATGAACTCTCCAGGATTTGCTATGCCTTCAACAACAGACAATGTAGATACTGGAGTTTCCTTCTTCCGTTCAAGATCAATGAGGGTTTCGAATTTTAACGCTGATGATGGTTTTGAAGGCCACAGTTCTTCCCGACCATGCAGGAGCATAGGTCCATAAAACCACATACTTGATGACTGTAGTTTATGGGGTGCAAGGCCTCTTGATAAAATGTCAGCTGGATTGTGTTCCGAAATGACGTGGCGCCACTGACTTGTGGCTGTTAATTGATGAATGTTGCTTACTCTGTTTGCAACGAAAGTGTGAAACTTTGATGATGGAGAGTTGATCCATGATATCACTATTTGGGAATCACACCAAAAGAACGTCTGGTAATTTCTTATTTGTAGATCGTTCTTTATTCTTGTTGCTAGTTCTGCGCCAACCACAGCTGCACAAAGTTCGAGACGAGGTAATGGCAACCTTTTCAAAGGTGCAACCCGAGATTTGGCGCACAATAGTCGTACAATGATTTGACCATTCTGAAGTGTTGATCGCAAATACGCTGCAGGACCATATGCCTTTTCTGGTGCATCTGTAAAGATGTGTAATTGAATGTTGGCAGGAACTTCGCCTTTGAAAATATGACGAGATATCTGCAGACAATTTACTTTTGTCAAATTATTCCGGAACTCTAACCACTGTTTATGTAATTCAGTCGGCAGTTTTTCATCCCAATCCATCTTTAAATTCCATAATTCTTGCGCTTGTAACGACTCAATTTAGTCGTTGATGTTGCTGAGGTATACTCAGCCGTCGTCCAGGGGTCGTTGCAATAATATTTATTCTTTTCCGAAATCAAAGACAATATTTAATACATATAATTTGTGATTTATTAATAATTCAAAAAAAAGAAAGTTTACAATGTTACAATATATATTTTTAATTTTTGGGATTTGACTAAATGAATCCGGCGTTGTATCGTACTTCTGGACAGATGCCGCTTTACTTGAAATTTAAACTGGCGTTACAGAGCATCAATCTATTGGTCAAGACGTATAACTACCTTGACTTTTATACAAATCTACGTATCAAGACGTATAACTACCTTGACTTTTATACAAATCTACGTATCAAGACGGATAACTACCTTGACTCTTATACAAATCTACTCGTCAAGACGTATAACTACCTTGACTTTTATACAAATCTACTTGTCAAGACGTATAACTACCTTGACTTTTATACAAATCTACTTGTCAAGACGTATAAACTGCCTTGACTTCTATGCAAATCTACGAGTTCCTTGTTATCGCAAAGACGTATGACTGCCTTTGAGAGTTTTCCAACAAGTGATCTTCCTTATATGATGTGCGCTTATTTATACTAAAACGACCGAAGCTTTTCCTGTAGCGCATACATTGCTTCAGCTGTCATTTGCTTTGATTTTCGACGCCATTGCTGTTTTGCGTTTTCGCCGTGGTTCTTTTAATGATATGCGCGCGCATCAATTTTTGCACAAAGCTTTTTTTTGACATTTCTTGTGTTCTGTATTTGTTTTGCTAGTGTCGGCAGTGTTGGATTTATTTATTAAAAATAAAATAAATATTAAAAAAATAAATAAGGTAAATGTAGTTTATTTATTTAAATATATTTTGTATTCCCTACGAATTTTCTTCGGTTTCAGTAAGTTGTTGATATTTATTATATTGAATAAATAAAAATTAACCAATTTTTATTTCAGTTATGAATTCCACGCTGGTTATATGAAGGTTGGAAATTAGTGAAAATTTCCATCCTTACACGCTTCGTCGTGCTGCAAACAGGTTCCAATTTAACCTTGACGCATAAACTATCAGATTTTGGACACCAGGATAACCCAAGAGTTTTTGTTGTATCGTTATTATTTTCTAAATCTAAATTGACTTCTAAGTCATCGTGTGGAATTCCTTGTAGTAGACTTGGATGATTTGCGCACCATTTTCGCAATTTAAAACCGCTTGCTGTCAGTATTTTGTTTAATTGACTCTGAGTTTCCAACAATGTTCTCAGACTATCTGCCCCGTGTAAACAGTCATCTACATAGAAGTTTTGTTTGAGAGCAGATGCACCTAATGGATAATTTTGCATATTGTCATCAGCTAAAGCTTGCAAACATTTGGTTGCTAGATACGGTGCTGATCTAGTACCATATGTTACAGTGTTGAGTTCAAAGTATTTTATAGGTTGACTTGGTTCATTTCTCCAAACGATAAGCTGACATTGTCTATCTTCTGGATGTACAAGTATTTGTCGGTACATCTTTTCAATGCCTGTTGTAAACACATAGCGAGGAAGACGGAATCGTAATAAAATATACAGTAATTCACTTTGAACAGTTGGTCCGATGTGTAGTAAATCAGTGAGAGATTGCCCTGATGTTGTTTTGGCTGATGCATCAAATACCACACGTAACTTAGTGGTAGTACTGTCGGGTTTAAGCACTTCCTTTATAAAAGGAAGACGTACGATGAATCGTCCCGTAACATTCTGATATGTAGTTTGAGTGAATTGAGCTTCACATTGTTGCTCTGCTATTGACAAGACCTTTGAGTGAGTATCAACTTCTTCAACCTTCCAGAGTTGTTCTATTGCATTTTCTAAACTATCTTCTGATGCTATTCCACATGTTGCAATCATTGTGTTAGCATTTTGGATTTTTCCAGATACGATCCATCCGAGCACAGTGTTCTGTAGAATTGGTAGTTCCCTTGAAAGTTGTATTTGACCAGGACTTAGGAGTTGATGATAAAATTCTGCTCCAAACAACATATCAATTTTGTCAGACTTATGGAATGTGGGATCTGCTAATTGGATGTTATTGGGCAGATTCCAATTTGAAATTTGTAAGTGTTGCGATGGTTGATTGGATACAATTTTTGGCAACACAAATGCTTCAAGTATTGCTTTGTAATCGGTCACTTTTGATTGCACAGAAAGTGTTGTACGACTTTTAGAACTCAATTTACCTATCCCTATGCCTTCGATGCAAATCGAACTGGAGCTTACTTGCAGCCCCAATCTGGATGCCAGTCGTTCAGTCACAATATTTATTTGTGAACCTGAATCCAGTACTGCTCTGCACTCGACTGTTCTTCCGTTAGAGTTGCAGGCTAAAAGTTTTGCTGTTCCCAAAAGAACGCAACTGGTATGACCATGATTGATGAATGACATTAGAGTTGTTTGTGCAAGTGGCCTTGAAATGTTTTCTACTAACTTATGATTTGATGGTTGAACTGGGTGTCTATTTTGATGCAACAGTGTATTATGTCTTCTTTGGCATATAGTACAACCCCTGCTGGAGCATTGTAATGCCATATGACCAGGTTTCATGCAGTTTGTGCATAATTTATGACGTTTTAGTAAATCATACTTCTGTTGTATGGATTTACGTTTGAAAATTTCACATGAAAATAATTGATGACTACTATTGCAAGTAATACATTTTGATCCTGAGTCTGTAGCTGCAAGTGCTACTGCTGGATGTCGTGGTTTGTGACTTTGTTTGTGGTTTCCATTCGTCATTGATTCGAGTGCCTGAAATCTTCCTTCTAGGAACCGCAATAATTCTTTTAATGGAATTATTCTTCGGCTGTCTTCTAACGATTGCTCGAATGCTGTATGTGAAGCTTTGTCTAGCTTTCTAATAATTACGTGAACCATTATGGCGTCCCAAGATTTAACATCAATACCTTGAGCTGCTAATCCATAACAACATTCTTTTGTAACATCATGTATGCCCTTAAGACTGCTTGCTGATTCAATTGTTATATTTGGTTGTGATAACAATTTATTTAGTAATGCTGTCACCAAGAGTCGTTTGTTGTCATACCGATTTGAAGAATATCCCAAGCTATATTGTAATTTTGCTCGGAAATTGGCAGATGCCGTATGAGGGCTTTCGGCTCACCCGCCAAATTTGTAGATAGATGGAACATTTTGTGGGCTGCGCTTATTGATTGATCATGGATCAATTGTTGAAACAAATCTCTAAATTCAATCCATTTCAAATAGTCTCAGTTGGTTGACTGTGTTGCTTTAAATATATTAACGCGTTTTGGGCATCTTTATCCGTTGAATAGTATTGATCCCAAGTATATCCGACGATGTCTTGTGCGTCGGCTGATAACCATATTTCATCATTGTTATCCCTCAGATCCTTCTGATATTTTTCTATCAGAAAATATTTCAGATCATAATAACTAGGATGATGTTTTATGGTTATTTCTTCATATATTTCATCTATGCTCGTGCGTAGTGCATGCATTAATGAGGATTGCGTTTTGATGTTTCGCATGAGCGATGTAGCTTTGTTTGACCCTCTTGGGCTTACTACTGGCTTCCCGTCCTGTGGTTTTGGGATTAGCCTTGATTTCTCCAACTTGAATCATTCATCATATTTGACTACTAGATTGGAGATTTTTTCAAAGTAACCTGTACTGAAATACTCGTGTTCGAGTTCAGGTTGTGGCAATGCTTTGATTTCAGCATCATTTATTTCAAAATCATTCCATAGGGAATGTAGCTTCTTTAGTCGTTCTTCATAGTAAATGGAATCCTGCTTCCGGATACTAGAGTCCTTTTTAAAATTGGTTATCAGTCGCTCAATCTCTGTACCGAGCTCTGACTGCTTCTTTAATAACACATCCATGGCGATGTTTGAATTTTCGGTCCGAAAATTCCAATAAATACTTCAGCTGGTTAATGAGTAGACCTTTTGGTGTGTCCTTTTGTGTGTAATTGACTCCTTCGATATGTATTTCGTCAGGATAATGAAATGAAAATTGATATTATATCAATAATCACGTCGGGGTCACCAAAAAATGTACGCTACTTGGTGCTAACCCAGATCCTTAATCTGTGTTAGCTTGGTAGCCAATTTTTGTGTGTAAAGTAGTTTGAGCACTTGTAACCCAAACTACTTGTATTTTCTATGTTGATTAGTTTGAGCACTTTAAACCCAAACTAATCGATGCGAGAAAGTAAGAAAGTTATAATTGATTTAGTTTCTTTTTCTTTTCTTTCTGAACTTTATTAAAATTATTTCTTATACTTATACAAAAATTTTTTTATAAAAAAGCTATTAAATTATGCATTAATTAACAATAAATATTAATGCATGATTCACAAATAAATAAATTTGCCTACGCTGTGCTGACATAATTATAGGCCAACATATTACACACTTTCTTCAGTGCATTGACCAACAAGAAAAGCTGATAATGCAAAATTGCACTTTTCGTTGGTCAATGACTGGTCGCAGTGTTGGCCCAAATAATATGTAAACACATGTAAACAAACGACAAAAAAAACAAAAATATAAAATAATATTAATTAAATGCAAACATAAACACAAATATTTCAAATTTTTTGCCGGGCTTTAGGTCGTGGTTTTTAATTTTAAATTTTTATATAATAACTTGTATTTTATATAAAATAAATAAAAACAAACTTTGAATTAAATAAAATATCACAAATTTAATTTATGTAATATATTATTTTATCAACAAATATTTCGAGCTACTTCGTAGGCCATCTTCAGTGTTATTGAAATTTTACAAATACAATTACATATAAAAAAATTTTTAAATGTCAAAAGTCAAATAATAATTAAACAAAAAGATATGAAAAGGGGAAATTAATTTTTAAAAAAGTATAACAACCAGACGAAAAATATAATTTTTAAAGAAAATTTTTATTTTTATAAAAAACAAATAAAAGTAAATATAAACTTAGCTAAGCCTTCAGTATCCCTCTTGTAGTTCAGTTATTGACCATCTGGAACGTCAATTATATGTAACATTTCTAGCAACATCCTACGTTTGTAATTTTTCTCCTGGTGTAGAATTGTAATCTCATCGAAGTTGGGAGAATGGTTCATTTTAATGCAATGTGTTGCTAGAGCTGTTTTTTGGTCCACAGGTGTAGTGCGACTCTTTAGATCATGTTTGTGTCCAGCGATTCTCGTTCTTAATTTATTTTTTGTTGTGCCAACATATACCTGTTGGCATACGTTGGCTCCGTCACCTCCACAGGGAATTTTGTAAACCAAGTTATGTTGGTCTAACTTGTCTACTGGAGTTTTTGTTCTATTAACCCATTAAGTATCAGGCAAGTTCAAACTTGGAATTTTATGGTGAAATTTTCAGTAAGGTCTTATTTTACGTTAAAAATAATCCCTACAAAATTAAATTTTTTTTTTGGAAAGTAATTTTCCGGAAAAATGCCGTGTGGTCAATCACACGCTGGGCCCCATAGCATATTTTTCTCTCTTCGATAGTACAAACTTTTATATGTGTTTTGTACGCAAATATCGTATTTAGTTACTTTTATGATTAAGTAACTATCATTGTAAGTTGTATAAAGTACAAGTAATTATAAAGTTCAATGTTTTATGCTTTTCAAATATTTATTAATCAAAAAATATATTTGAATAATTACATATAAATTATATTATATGAAATAAATTAGGTTACTTGCGTCATTGTCTACGATCAATGTAATATTGTTTATTTTCATAGAAAATTTTAAAGCAATTTTCTACATGACCATTTAAATGGCACTTTTCATATATAAAAACTGTGGCTTTGGTAAATTTCCCGGAAGATAAACATCTTCTACAGCACTGTGACTTTCCTTTTTCAAATCATCGTATGCGGTAGCTTTTGTAATGAACATCGAGTTCTTTAATGGAAGACGAAGGTTTCTGGCAATCAAATTCTTGAAGTCTAACTGAGGCATCGGTTTTGTGTTGGTAGAAGCAGCGACAAAGCAATTTAGTTTTCAAGCGTTTACTACAGCACTATCTAAACATTGTACCCATAATGGCCACCACCTTTTTTTGCTCCTATTCCCGATACGATAGTTAACAACTATCGATAGTTAACAACAATTATCCATGTTGCAATGGATAATCACAATGGCTCAATAATTCCTAATGCACGGATTTCCAATTGTTTGTTGTATTTGTCAGTTGCACTGGAGTATGGCAGAAACTGGAAGATATACCCATTATCCAAAAAAGGGTTCATACCTTATAACAGAAACGTATTGGTTTTACAAGTTCCAATGTGAATAGTTGCGACTCAGTTATTTCTACAAGACCACCATAATCTTGTGCATTTGATTCGTATACACCTTCAATAGTACCTAAATACCATCTCACAATTAGACACGCGGAATTCAAAACAGGTTAACGAAATTTTAAAGTTGTATGTAATGTTTGTTGATATTTTATGATCGTCAATAATTTTATTGTCCGATTCCCCAGCAACATTATCAGGTGACAAACATTATTATTCAATAGGTAGCGGAGTGTTACTTGGCACTAATGACTCATGTTTGCTCCAACTGTCAGTAATATGCAAAAGTTCCTGATTTCTTAGACATCTTAAGAATGACATAATAATTCATTTACAGTAAAAAATTAAAGACAGAACTTTTAGAATGAACAACTGTAAGCCCTATATAAAACGATCAAATTCAGACTAACTCAACCAGTAATTAAAAATCAAAATAGATTTAATACTGTAATGAACCTCCTTATGGTGAGGGTGTCTAGAGCTGGGATAGCTCAGCCACAGCCAGGGTCCTTACAAGAAAATTTCTACTTACATGTCGTTGGTTGCCTCTCGACCGTTTCAGTTTAAATTTTACACGATTTCTAATTCAGTTCTTATTATTTCTTTATTAAATCTAAATTCCTAAATGGGTAATAACTTATAAGCTATAATTTACAAGTATTTATATTTATAAATATAATTTCAAAATAATAGTAAGGATTTCAACCGTAGTTATAGAATTGTAAGGAAAACAAAGGCGATAATTTTAAAGCGATCGTAGTTGTTTAACACAGTCTGGATCTCAGCCGTAGCTATAGAAGTATAAACACAAGTTAGAATTT